GTAGCCTGAGGTCAGGTCTGGAAGGAACAGGATGTGTGTGCTAGAGGGAGGTGGAGGGAGGACGCAGTGCCAAAAATCAGCTCCTGGCCCAGCCCCTGCCCTCCTGGCCTGGCTTTGCCCCAGGAGCCCCTCCCTGGCCTTGTAGCTCCGGATCCACCTGGACACCTGGAGAGCATATCCCTTCACCACGATGCCGGTGCCGGGGCCTGTGGGTCCAGATCGTGTGTTCTGCCTGCTCCTCCTGCTTCTGGTCGCCCACGGCCCTGAGGGGGGTCGCCCCCCGCAGCGCAGGTTTGAGTACAAGCTCAGCTTCAAAGGACCAAAGCTGGTTTTGCCTGGGGCTGGCATTCCCTTCTGGAGCCATCACGGAGGTGAGGGGCAGGGGTGGGGACCAGCCATGTCTCCAGTCCCTCAGAATGCTGCAGGGGCTGGCCAGCTCTGGGGAGCTGCAACTTGGTGGGGATTGAGCCTGTCAATGCCAGCCAGTGCCCAGGCTATATAGCACCCAGGTGGACCAGGCTCCACCCTGACCTCTCTCCCCTGGGGCTTCTCTCTCCATTTGTCTTGCCTTGGCTCGCCCTTCCTCTGCCTCTGGACCTGTTTGACTCACAGACATACACACACACACACACACACACACACCCCTACACGCGTGTGTGCTCACACTCCAACCCAACTTGGATCCACACACACTCTGACTCTCATGGCTCCATCCTGTGGGTCCATGGCTGTACTAGAGGACGGAGCACCACCTAGAGGGGGTGTCCCTGTCCATCCCCGCCCCCACCCCAGTGTCTGTTTGGGGTGTGTGGAAGCAGTTGTGAGCGTTTTCTTGCCGGCTGGTCTGTGTTCCCGATCTTAGGGTGCAGCCCCTCCACGTCTGTCTCCTACCTGATAGTGGTGACTTTCAAGACCCAGAAAGCAGAGAGGCACCTAAGGGGGGTAGACGGAGAAGCACCCCTGGGTGGGGCAGTGGTTAAGCCCTTCCCTGCAATCCAAAAGGTTGGTGGTCCACTCCCACCAGCTGCTCCTCCAGAGGACGATGTGGCAGTTTGGGAAGCCTATGGGGCAGTCTGCCCTGCTCTCTGGGGACACTAGGGGTCAGGCACGACTCCAGGACATTGAGTTTGACAGGCCGTGAGTGAGAAGGATGAGGCTGGGGGGTGGGGGAGGCACAGGAAATGAATCGAGGAATGTGCCCATTGCCAAAACGCAGGTTTCTAGGTTTGCCCACCTGCCGGAGGCGATCGATCGTGGGTTTGGTTCAGAGCCTCCTAGCAGGCAAAGCAGCAAGAGAAAGAGAAAGCAGATGACTCTTATATTTCTGGCTAGAAGACAGAGAAAGGACAGGACTCCTCATTGAAACCAGAACGCAATACCGCCAGAGGCCCTTTAATGAAGACCCCTGAGCAAGGTCTCACACCTGGTCCTCCTTCACAAGAGGTCAACGCAGACCAGGCTGCTGCTCAACACGCCTGCAAGGCAGACCTCCTGAGCCCAGGCAGGGCCAAGGCATGCTGCTCCAAACCAGCCAGGGACATGCTCTCTCTCTAGTCTTGCCCCGTCCCTCTCTTTGCTCCAACTCCCAGCCCCTGGGGCTGCCCTGAGGCCCAAGGGACCCCAGTCAGTCTGGGTAGAAGCCCCATGAACCATCCCCAGCTGGGCTGAAGGCATCCTTGGGCCAGGCACCTGGCCTTCAGATGGGTGGTTTGCAGGTGTCTGGGGATTTCTTGTTGGCAGCCTCGGAGCCTCCCTCCCCCCACTGTCTTTGTGCAGCAAACAGGCTGGACAAGCAGCCTCGGGAGCGTCCTGGCAGAGCCCTGGACATCATGCCAAGTTCCAGGCTGGCAGGTTGGAGGGGTGGAGAGCCAGTCGGGGTGGGGCC